TTGCCCTCTAGCTCCACTCGGGGAACAAGTTTTGTGGAGTCCTCGCACTCCTTGAGCACCAGGACTGTCATCAAGCCCAGAAACTGAAAGAGCTTCTTGTACCCTCTCACCCTCTTGTATCAGAATGTGGCCCATAGCCAGGAAAGACTGGGATAGTCTCCCATGATACAATACTATGTTTTCTGAAGCAATATCATGCTTATTTTGCAAGAGGTGATGGGTGGGCTGGTTCAATATTATTCATGGGTTTTGTCCACCAGCCCAATATGAAGAAGAGACTGTATTGCTTTGAATTGCATCAGATTTCCAAGACAAGATTATTTGTTTAACTAGTTTAAAATCATCCATTAGCAGAATGGAAATCTAATGTTCACACAATTTCTAGGTTAAGCAACTGTTGCTATTTTAGCCAATTCCATGTCAAAAACAGAAGGAAAGTACAAGAATGAAATCACCAGAAAATACTGTCAGGTTTCAGAGTCTCTAAGGTGCCACAAGTACTCCTGTTCTTTTTGAGAAAGTACTATGTAATTCAGTTTATGAGCAAATTTCATATGTAATGATGCCTTTCTGTACTTGATATAAAAAGTATTAGAAACAGAATGCTGTAGCTTTAAAGCGGTGGTTCTTAACCTTTACTGCAGCCTGCACCCCTTTGGTTCTCAAAATATGTTCTCGCACCCCTTATCAAAAATCAAAATATGTTCTCGTACCCCTTAAACCTAAAAAATATGTTCTCGCACCCCTTAAACCAAGATATATTTTTGTTTGTATATTACAGTAATTGTTAAAAAATGTATAATGTTAATAAATACATAGGTTTGATGAAACAAAGTAGTTGTACTTATGTGTCTGTGATTAATTTGTGTTTTCGATGATTTACCTTCTAAAAAAATCTGGCATGTCTCGCACCCCCAGAAAGGGCATCTCGCACCCCCAGGGTGTGTGTGCACCCCAGGTTAAGAACCACTGCTTTAAAGTATTTGAAACATTTGTTTGTTTATCTTCACATTATTTCCCTACCGCTAGATTCTCGTTAAATCCAGGGTGTTTCTCTGTAAATAGAACCATTCTCATGCACACTCCTCCTTCTGAATATGAAGAAATCAACTGCTTTTGGCTAAAACTGTGACAAACTATCTTCTAATCATTGGTCAGTGGGGTGCCCCCACTAAGGGGCAGCAGGGATAGAGGGTGTTAGTTTATTGGGTCGTCTTTACATTTGTGATGGGAAACATCATGTACATTATGTTATATCCTGGTACAGCAAGACACAAGTTAGCTTAAGTGGTCACAACAAAAGTTGCTGCACCACATCAAAAAAGAGAAAGAAATCTTAATATTCAAGTGCCGAGAAGTAGAGCAGATTTTTATGGTTACTCTGTTTCTGGCAAATCTCTACTTGTATCAGTATTATAATTTTCATCACATCAGACTTTTCTCTCATAACCAAAGCATTACTACCAACAAACAGGAGTAGGACATGTATTATAGGGTGGGAAAAACTCTGTTTACAAATACATATCTTCACTGATTTCTATATAAGGAAGAAAACACATACACACACGAAAGGTAAATTAACAGATTTAATCATAGGTTTCCAAAGTTGAACAGGGCATGGAGATTCAACTAAAAAAAGCAATACCTTCTTATATCACAATGCAGAGAACATAAAACAAGTCCTGTGTTATTGTTGGAAATGAACCTCACAGTGCTTAACTTTCAATGACCTTGCCCTGTGAACATCTTTTCAATTTGTTGAGTGCTAAAAATAACACAATTGTAGCTGCAAAGGATTACCCAGACTAAGATAGGCAGTTGAAAGGCATTCTTTACAGCTTCTGTTAGTTCACACAAAGTTAGTTCACACACACACACACACACACACACACACACACACACACACACTCAGATCATTGAATTCATCAGCCTAGGGAAAACTTTATTAAAATCCGTGGAGAATTTTTAAAGTGAGAAAAAACAGAGCCATAGCAGGAAACAATAACATGAAGAGTTACTGTATCCTGTAACAAGGTCAGGAGTTGCTAGAGGGGGCCCTAATGTCAGTCATCATTGATGCAAGGGATGGGATATGTCAAGGATGGAGGAATGGCCTCTGTTGCAGGAAATGCAGTGAGGCAACACTTAAGGCAAGGGCCTTCCCCACTGCTGTAGCTTCAAACAGCAAAACATAATTATCAGAGATGTGGAATTCTTGTCGCTAGCAGGGCTGCTGAAAGTGTCATCTCTGAGTGTTACAGTGGCTTGTAGTAGCCCCATTTACATCTAGGTCAATCCTAATTAAAATTAGTCCCTATTAAACCAATATTTACTTCCATTTGTGCATGCATTTGCAGGGGGAGGGATAGATAGCAATATCTTAGAGCACAAAGGTTTGGAAGCCTTTGTTTTAACCTTTTATATAGTTTGGTATTAATATAAAGGCCACTACTCCTGGCCTTTAAACTCAACGCGTTTGGAAAGTCAGAGCATTTAAGTGCTACTGTGGTGCCATGTGACTCACGTTCATAGGATTCTTTTTCACTGTGTTGTTAGTCTTTCATCTCGAACCAACATGATGTGTCATTCATCAAGGGTGTAAGAAACTATAGTCTATCATCTACAGCAGTAACTGTACCATTCTCTGGACGAAAAGTTATGATTACTTTACAGTGTCAGTTGCTCTACATTTTCAGTCACTGTTCAGCTTTCCTTCGATTCTTTTGACTGGTGTCAGATACAGTTCAACAAAGTACAACAAAGTATTATACAGTTCTCATTTTTCCAATTTTTTCCTCACCTTCATTGAACAATTTCTATTTAGTTACCACATTTGTAAGATGCCATAATTTGGGGCAGGGTGGGGGAAAGCATAAAAGCTCCACTTTGGAAATGAATCTGCAATACCAACTCTCCTCTCCAAACTCAGGGCCAAATTTTACCCTTGCATATGCCTAGGCAACTCCCACTGGAATCATTGGCAGGTTCGTGTATGTATGAACTGTTAGGACATCCAGGAGCAGAGACTTGTCCAATAGCAGTAGAGGCCAAACCAGTCTTTTCTGCATACATCTGACCAGGAAATGTTGTCATTTTCTGCTGTAAGAAGAGCCGGTCTTACGAATTCCTGCTTTTGTCAACTCCAGGTAAGACCAGTGTAATGCCCATGAAGGCTACCTAGAAATTACAGCTAATATAGCCTATAGTGGTCCTCCTTCTAAAGAAGAAAGACTGACAAGAATATACTGCTTTGCAATCTATTACAGGATCCTATCCAATTCAACGTCCTGCTCCTCTGCCACAAAGCCCTAAATTGGGCTGAACCCTGCCCATATCTGTGACCATTGTGTGCTCTCTCTCTCTCTCTCTGTCTCAGGGCAGCATTCATTTGGGGCATTTCAAGTGAAAGGGCCCCATATGCACCTATAAGGGGCCTTGGCCAAAGCTTTCCTGGTGAATAGTCTGGGTTGCAGATCCAGCCTCTGAAACAGTCAAGACTGAGTCCAAACTTTGCCACATTCACAGCATATTGCAAGACCCACCTCTTTGATCAAGTGTTTTCCTACTGGGAGAGTGGAGTACCCTAACTCCAACTGGAGTACAACCTTAGTATTAAAGTCTGTGTAGGAGAAGTAGGGAGTGGATTGCTGTGCTTCCTTCAGGGGGGCAATCTTACTTACATTTATATAAGATTAACTAGAGAAGACAGAACTTTAGAAATTAGTTTATAAATTATTGTTTAAATAATGTAGAGCCAGAATTTGGCTCTTGATCTCCTGAAAGCTCAAGCTAATTAATTTACATACCAAAAATTAAGCTGAAGCACTTTCTGCATCATCCCATAGTATTACAAATAAGACTAGTAGCTGAGTTCACTGCAAGCTGTTCATGTGCATCCAAAGGCAGAATTTGGTCCTAACAATGTTACGTTGTATGGTCAGCATTTGGAGAGATTTGACATTTTCTGATGGTGCAGTTTCAAGACAAAGCTAACAGATGTATAAAAGTGAGCATGTGACCTTAAAGGAGCTCATTATACCAGATTTCACATTCCTTTGAACACCTTATCGCAGCTTTAATTCTATGGCAGTCATACGCCATTAGCCCTTTTACTATTGTAAATGCTACAGTGTGAAGTGTTATTTTATTTCTAAAGAAGTTAACAGTGAGATAAGTCAATATATTACCATGTGAAATATGAGTTTTCAATCAAATGTCACTTAAAGTGTCAACGCATTTGCGAAAAAAGCAGTCCAATATTTTTAGTATCCATACAAATATGTTTGCCATCCTCACCGAGGAAGGCACCAGCACTGTGTTCCCATGCAACAAAATCCTGTCAGCACAGCTAATCCCTATGGATGTCAGAAGCATAAGCCCCAGAAGAGCAAACAACTGCACTGTCAAAACCATGTCATCAACATGCAGGCCTATTCCTAGTATTATTACACACTCCATTGCCTCCAATCACAACCCAGAAAAACTAGAATCCATGTTCAGAGTCATTGGATCTTGAGGAATTGACACAGCATGGCTAATAATCCCACAGAATTCAGAAACTACATTGGATTTTAAAAAGGCAGCCTTATTTTTGTGCTTTGGATTTGAAGCAGATTAAATAATAGAAAAGGGTAGGCTATCAGGTCATGATTTGTATACTACAGCTGTCCAGTTTGAGTTGACAGACATTCTTTGCAGGGCCAGTTGACTGAATAAGAAAGGCAGAGAAAAACTCTGAGAGTAATAGGTGGACTATAAAAAAAAAAAGTGTTATTGAGGGGAAAAAATGAATGCAATAACAACCAACGCTGATGGAGTTACTCACTAGAACAAATAGTTAAAGCTCCTTTGTAAACTACAGTTTCCTAAAATGAAGGTATAAAGGAAATCGGATTAGTTCACAGTCCTGACACACACTTCAAGTTGTAATATCGTGTAAATTACTGTTATAACTAAACTTGGACTAAACCTTCTGCAAGCAGGACAACGAGAGAACCACCATGAAAGGTGAGCTATAATTTACTTTTTAGACCTATAGTGAAGTGCTTTGTAAAGAAATATTGTCTTTGCCAACCAGTGTCTATTTTTAACTTTACAGTGGAAGTTATTGTTTAAGTTGTTTTTCTTGTTTCTGACGCTAACAGTTGCAGAACGGCATAATGCTACAGAATATGTTTCTTGAACACAGAATTCAGGCATTGTAGCAACATTTTCAAATACAATTTCATTTAGAGTGTTAATTAATAAGTGGTTTGCAAGGTAGATTGTAGTCACAAAAATCCAAACCTTTCATTTACAGATTTAATATGTTCAATACTGAAATCTCATTCTGTTGTTCTTTTAAGATAGTGTTCCCTGTTACTAATTAATGTTTGAGCTCTACAAGTCAATATGCACTGTAGCCTTTATTTTCTAAGGCTTTTAAATAGTAATTGACTAGAAGCTTTTCTACTTTGAAATAACAGATAATATTAATGATTCGATGCATCACAAAGACAATGTTAAAAGGCATTTATCCACCTATTGCTCTGATTCTCTGGAGCCAAAATAATTCATATGGGATCAGCAGCCAAGACTCCCCAATATATCTTTATTATTCCATTGTATGCATATTAACATAACTTTAGGCAGCATGATGTTTTTAAAGGAATAGTGTTAACCACATATGACAGGTACAAGGTATTATTATTTCAGTCAAAGCCAACTGGATCACTGTCAGGAGCCATGGGAGTAGATAATAATTTTAAATATTAAATATCATTGAGTACTCCTGTGACCTCATTTATCATTTTAACAACTGTACTTGACAAATGTTTGCTTAGTGGCTAGATGTTCAAATCTTTGGAAAGTACAGCTGGCATTGAGATAAGGGAATTTCAATTAATAAGCATAAACATGGGTGGATATTTTAAAGAACAGACCTTAAAAAAATCTGGCTCACTGGAAACTTTTGTTGAATTCTCTGTAGTGAAGCCTTTGAAGATTATTGTTTTCTCTAAAAGAACACAAGCTTAATTCTTTAAGGTGCAACATGCAATCAAAACAGTAAGTAAACAGGGACTGGGCTTGCAACTTTAACATACAGTGGCTCGGAATCACTATCACCACAGAAAGGTAAACATTACAATTTAATATCCTTGGGAACTCTATGGGAGTGTTTCATTCCTATGGGTATCCAGCAGCTAGAAATTCATCATATTTTTATGGCAAGGGGCTGATGGCTAAGCTTGCTAAAAGTTATTTGCATTTAAGATAAAGCCATGGAAAATAGCTCAGTTTGAAACTAGAGAAAAATTGTCTTTAGTCTACATTATATGAGGTTTCCAAAATTTTATCTAGGGCTGATTCATACTATTCTGATGTACCGAACTGTGAAACAAAGGTGCATTATTGTCCATTACCAAAATGTACATCTTTTGTCTATGCTCCCAATGTCTGTATTACCAAAACACACTGATTATAAATTAGTTTCACCACATTATCACTTCTTTTACTTCTTGTACAGGTGACTTGCTTTTGGTTTCAAGTATCATTGTACTAATGCATATGGTATGTGGATGCCCCGAAAAGTGCCTATGTCATCAAACTTCAAAGACAGTGGACTGCAGGAATCAAGGACTTGTTGAAATTCCCTCCCACGTACCTCCTGAAACTCTAATATTACAGTTGCAGAATAACCATATTTGGAGAATTAATCAAAATGCATTCAGTGAAACCCCTTTGCTCAAAATTTTAGACTTGTCTAATAATTCTGTTTCAAATTTGTCATCGGGTGCTTTCCAAGGACTACGATACCTACAGGTTCTAAACCTAACCAAGAACTTGATTCATTACCTAGAAAACAAGACTTTTAGTTCCCTCCCTCAATTAAAAGAACTGGATTTGTCCTCCAACAGTATATTAAATTTGCCTGAAACTCTAGGAAATAATACAGGGAATATAACTTTATTGTCTGTTAAGTATAACAAGCTTCAAAGACTGGACAGAATTCTGCTGGAATCCCTCCCAAATCTGAAAGTTGTTCTTTTCAAGAATAATCCATGGCAATGCACTTGTCATGTCATTGGCCTTAAACTGTGGCTAGAGAGCTTTTTATACAGAGGTAAGTAATTTTCTCTATTAGATAAAATGTAAAGAAAATGGCTTAACATATACTTGACCTGTCTGAGCTATCATGTCTTTGATACCCAGGGCCGCCGAGAGCGGGTTCGGGCCCCGGTGAAAAAAATTTTTCGGGCCCCCCAGCAAGGGCGGACCAACTAAACAGGGCCGACGAGAGGGCGGGGGGGAAGCCGGGCCCCGGTAATTTGTACAGGCTTCCCCCCCCTCTCATCGGCCCTGCTGATACCAGAAAGCACTTAAGCTCATACTTAACTCTCTCTCTCTGCTCTGGACTAGAGTTCGGCAAAAATAACTGATTTTTCAGACTGCTGGAAGTTCAAGAACATAAACTCAATTTGGATTAAACTGAATCCAAAATTAAAAAAAAATATTGGCGAATCAAAGGAAACATAGTTTGACCCAAAGCATTTTGTTTCCAGACTTTTTAATTAGGCTCAATTAAAAAAAAAAAAAAAGAGGAAGTAGAGGTAATGGTTGTGGTGCCAGTGCCCACCTTATAACTTTTTGCCCAGTAGTTAGGGCACTCACCTGGGATGTGGGAGACCAGGTTTGAATCCCCACTTTGGAGCAGGGATTTGAACGCCCTGAGGTTAGTGCCTACCAGGCTATTGGCTAGTCTGGGGAGGTCTCTCTCAGGCCTGGTCCACACTAACCCCCCACTTCGAACTAAGATACGCAACTTCAGCTACGTTATTCACGTAGCTGAAGTTGAACTATCTTAGTTCGAACTTACGGCGGGTCCACACGCAGCAGGCAGGCTCCCCCATCGACTCCGCGTACTCCTCTCGTGGAGCAGGAGTACCGGTGTCGACGGTGAGCACTTCCGGGATCGATCCCAGAAGATCGATTGCTTACCGCCGGACCCGGAGGTTAGTATAGACGTACCCTTAGTGTCTCCTGGTGAAGCTGCTTCCTTTTGTATAAATAATTATTCATTCTAGTAGGGACTTGAGCTTGGGTCTGCCCCATTCCAGCTGAATGCCCTGACCACTGGGCTAAAACTTATAATACAGAAATACACAATGCCATGGTAAAGAAAAAATGAACTTATATGTAGTTTAAAAGCAGCACAAAGTTGTTTGGCCATCTCCACTTGCATTTAATCTCTTCCATTTATAAATCCATTAGTTATTCTACATAAAAAGAGAATAAGACTTAACTCTGTTTTTTGTAAGTCAGAAGTTGTCTCGCTCTGCTTTTGAATGGCATTGCAATGCTTTGTTCTGAGCAGCTTTAGAATCCAAGATGATTTAGATAAAAGAAAAAAAATCATTTATAATCCTAAAATATTTGGGTTTTTTTTAAGTGTATCTGTTTTATATGCAGTGTAGGCAGTGAAAGGTATTAAACATTAAAGGAAGAACTGGCTCTGATTGCTGTGGGAGTTAGTCAGACTTTGAGAAATCAAAAGAACAAGACAATCCTATTTCCTCTCAAATAAATGTTGATGCATGAATGTGATACAAATATTTCCTTGGTTTCCTATCTGTATGTAGGTCAATATATTGGCATGGTACAATGCAACAGCTCATGTGAAGATGCTCTGTGTCTTCTGTTTGTCCTCTGTAACACAATTGCTATTCAGTATCCATTGATGGCCTTCACTCATAGTTACATGGGCAGGAATCTTGAAGATGAGATTTGGTTTGTGCACAGAAGGGTGGAAGGCTGAAGAGATGAAAATGAAAGGAAATCTGAGATGCCATAACCTATGACAAATTGTCCTTTGTTGTGCCTAAATAGAGTTGCTTTAATCATTCAACAAACAGAAGAGTTACTGTGGAACTAACCAACTAATTTCCACTCCTTATTTCTCCTTCTAATTAACTTTTAAGTGAGTTTGTGCAAGAATAACTTTAAACCTTGCAAGAATAGCCTTAAAAACCTCACACTTTGGTTACTAGAAATGTTTAAAGTTCATATGCACACTTCCTTGTTAAAATGAAATGTATATAATTGGACAATTTATATGTCCAATTAGTGAATTGGTAACAAAGTCAAGTCTCCAAATATTTCACCACGAAATTCTCACTACTAACCAGTCACCCACTGATAAATAGAGTATACCACAGGTAATCACTAAATTACACACATACACACACACCTCAAAATTTTATTTTTATTTCAGGAATTACCACCATGAGAAGAGACATATTTCTTTTTACAGTATCTCTCTTTTTATACTGTGGCCAAATCATTGGGCCAGTTCCTTAGCATGCCCAGCGCAGATGGAAATCAACATTTATTGTCTACCTGAAGGAAATGGTTAGCATAAGGGGAATCTCCAGCACAAGTTAAGCCATTCCAGCTGGGCACAACTTAAAGTGGACTTGAGGCTGTTCTAAATTGTGCTGGAGGCACAGCTCCCCAGGCATTCTAGGCGTGGGGAGCTGGAATGATGGTGTAATAACACCTCCAGAGTCATCTGTTCTAGAAGCAGCACTGGCACAGATAAGGATCTGGTCCATTGGATCTATGTTAAAGCATGTACATTTAATTAAGTTCCATCAATACAAGATGCCTGATACTTGGCTAGGTAACAGGTGGAAGGTGGTATTAGTTATAGAAAATAATAAATAAAATTAAACAAGCTTTTAAGCCAGTGATATGTGCAATTTATCAAAATAGTCAACTGGCTGAGTTGAAAGAGTGAGTCTGTAATTTAACTGATAAAAATTAGTCTCCCAGGGTTAAAATCATACTACTTTCTGGACTGTTAAAATATTAAGTTATTTCTTTCAGCCCCCAGGCTTTTGTTAAATTTTGCTGGACCTATTCCCCAGAACAAATTTTAGCAGGGGTTGTGAATTCTGTATGCAGCGGAAGGTAATGATCCAAGATAAGCATATCAGATTATCTTAATTACTATGCCAGCAGCACAGCTTCTTTAGTTTATCTCAGAAACACAGCCATTGTTTGGCAATTCAGTGATTTTTTTTCGTCTCACCTTTGCTTTATACAAATTTGTCCAAATTGCAAAAAATGAAGTGAAATGCAACACACAAACCCATTTTAACAACCAGTGTTGGAAGAAGTCTGGATATTCTGTACTCTAATATTTCTCTAGTATTCTTCTTCTGTGACTTATACTAACCAACATGAGTTATGTTCCTGTAACAGGGTAGCTGGCCCCTTAAATGAAACTGGGCTCAGCTCTTGCGTTCCAGTCAAGTGCATCCTAGCTTGATGTAATGAGGTGGGTGGGGCTGGCCCCAGGGAGTTATAAATGAGAATCCAGAACACTGATAGAGTTTAGAAAGGAAGAAAGAGTTCTGAGAATAAAGAGCACTCAGAGGAGGGGATGCCCCTAATGGTGGAGCAGTGAGAGTTCCCTCATTGAGCAGTGAAGCCAGATCAGTGCTGATGAAAGCAGAAGGTACGAAGGCAGTGAGGAGGTCACCTACAAGTTTCCCCAGGCCCAACAGCCATAATCACAGAGAGCTGAAGCCTGAGAGAAGCAGAGGGAAATGCCTGCTGGCTCTCTGAGGTGGACAGCTAATGCTGACGGGCCAGAGAGAGCTGAAGGGTATATGTACTTGGAGGGGAGAAGGGGGCGGTAAATGACTACAGACATAAAGAAGGGAACCGGAATAAGTTGGAGAACTACTGATCTTAAAGCATTGGGATGCCCAGAGCCTCCGAGGAAAGACCTGTTGGGCCCAAGAAGTGAAACGCACCCTTTTTGCTTGGTAGGATTGTCTCGTGGAGTTCTTTCTGCTATTGGAGAGGACATCTCACACTGCCAACAAACACTCCTGGGCTAGCGGAGGCATCCACCCAAAATCCAAGCTGTCTGGTGAAGCGTCCATGGATTGGGGTGCCAGAGTCTGCTGCTATGTTCTGTGAGCACTCCCGGAAATGTCGGGAGTGGGAGAGGGTGGAGAAGAAGAGGAAACCAGAACTGGCAAGTCCAGAATGGAGCAATTGGGATGACCATCGCCCTTTCCAACTGGAGTTTGTGCAGGACACGTGACAAGAGTGGTGTGGGAGGGAAGGTGCAGTTGATTCAGTGACCATGAAGAACTTTGGCTAGCGAATGGAACAGTTGAGGTGTCTGAGATCCAAGACTGGTTTAATCTCCCCTTCTTGTGTACCAGAAAACAGTCTGAATACTTGTGCCTCTCTGCAGGAGGGAGTCCACCTCTAGGGTAAGAATACTGTTGTGAGAGTGATCCCTGGCATGGGATCAGCACAGGGGATGTGGAAGAGGCAGAATCACCAACTCAGTGGTATAGCCATGTCGAATGACACCCAGGACCCACTTTGTCTGTTATTGCTCTCCATGCTAGCAGAAAGAGTTTGAGATTGCACCAAAAAGGGGTGGCTGGTCAGACCGTTGGGGTGCAAAGTGGTTGACGGCTCTCTAATTGCACTCAGAAATATCGCTTAGCAAAGATTGGGCGTGTTGTGCAGATGACTTCCTTGTCAAAACAGGTGGATGGGATCTGTGGGCCTTTGGGCATTTCTGTGGAGGCTCACAGATGGTAGAACTGGGGCCATGAGCTCTAACATGGCCAACCTGGTTGATCCTGCTGTTGCAGCAGTGGTGCCCAAGGAGCTGAGTATCAGTGGCTCCTGGGCTGAGCTAAGGTAGGGTATTGCCATGGTGCCATTGGGACCTTCTGATAGGTATGTCTTCAGAACGGCAGCCGACCATGCGTAACATCTGGATCCTCAAACTCAGAGGAACCAGAGTCCTTGCATGACTTGCATGAGGTGCTTTTTAAGATGGAAGACTCTGCCTTCCCCTGAACGAGCAGGGAAGGAGAGGCAGATACTGCACCTGGACACGGTGTGGGCTTCCCCCAAACAGTACAGGCAGTGTTGATACTCATCGCTGAGGGAAAACAAGCAAGGACAGAAAGCACCGACTTTGAATCCCGGCCTCTTTGGCATAATCCAATACCTAGTACTGGTTGCTGGACGGGGGGGATTGTTTGGCAGAAAATGCAGAAGCACCGTTTCAAGTGCTTAATCATACCAAACTTTTAGAAACAAGAAAATTACTACAGAAACAGCAAAAATCTTGACTATATACACTACCGAGACCTGGGTGCTGTAGGGGGTAGAGTGAGTTGGAGATTGTTTGGCAGTTAACCGCTGAAGCGACATCTCCAGCTCTTAAATCTACAAAACTTCTAAAAAGAATAAAACCACTACAAAAAACTGAAGAATCCTGACTAAGTATGAAAATAAAAACAGTTTTTCTAAAAAGTTTGGAAAATGCATCACTAAGGACAAGAGGACAGCAGAAGCTCTGACTTGGACCATGCGGCGTTGAGAAGGTACTGAAGATGTGGTCGGTCTGCCCCGCTCTTTATCACCTTGGGCGAAACCATGAGGCAGTGCAAGTGTGCATGCATTGACCGATGGACATAACTACTTTGAAAAGCTCCAGGCACTTGCACATAACCCCCAGTGGAATACAGATAGGGACCATCACTTGAAGAATAAAATATATCTTGAACTGAAGGCAACTCAAGCAATTGATTCTTGTGGCATATACTTAAATAATTATAGCGAATGTTTTAGTCAAGGTAGAATTCTAGTTTTCCATTCCAACACACCCTTTTCAGTCACTCATAACCATGGAAGGATCAGAGCTGCAGAATTTGGATCTTCAGCCATATCCACACTGAAAATGTCCATGTATGGAAGTCTTTGGATCCAGGCTTTTGGTTTGACCTGTTACAGATCAAGGATTCAGCTGCTAGGCTCTGATTCATCTTGGAACATGGCCAGTATTTGTGGGGAAGGTGACCTTAGGAATTTGGTTTGGGCCCATCTTAACTCACCACCTTCTAAAACAAATTCTTTTTAAGATTAAAATTTCCATGCCGGGCCACAAAGGGAGAGGAAATTTGAACTGATTTGATTCAGTTACTTTTGAATTACGCAAACATGAAAATATACAATGGTTCTAGCCCTAACCAGTAGCTATGGGACCATGATATGTGGGATGGTAAGGGAGCTGACCTCTGATACATATGTGCTCTAATGCACTAGGGACTGATCCTGCCCTACTGCTTGAACAGGAGTGAAAAGGCTCCTTACTCCATTCCCCCCACACCAAGTTCACCCATTCAGCAGAGAGCAGGAACCAGCCCTAAATGTTGCATGGGGCATGGGTCACTTGCAGGTTTAAACTAGTGTAGATGGTGGATTCTCTGTAACTTGAAGTCTTTAAATCATGATTTGAGGGCTTCAGTAACTCAGCCAAAAGTTATGGATCTATTACAGGAGAGGGTGGGTGAGGTTGTATGGCCTGCAATGTGCAGGTCAGACTAGATGATCAGAATGATCCCTTCTGGTCTTAAAAATCTATGAATCTATAATAAAATACACAGGATGTGCTGTATGGACAAGTTTGAAATTAGAAAATTCAACTGTTTTATTTTTCTAACTTTTGTATGGAGAATATTGGTTTTGGCATGTAATGTGAATGGTATCATGCTTTTATAAACTATGAAGAAAAAATCAGGGCATATAGAATATTTTATTTTTACAATTTGCTTCATGGCAAATGTTAGCACATAGTGCCAGAACCATCACTACTTCATGGACTATTGCTGTGAACGCTAATAGGAAATGTTTACAGAAGACATATTGTTTCCATTTATGTTTATTAAAAAAGTAGTGTTAAGAATGTACCTGGTAACAATATCTCTTTGTTTTCATTTATGGCTTTACACCTGCCTATTTTTGTACTACTGGGTGTATGTGCACGGTGGGGGAGGAGGGTTGTTTTGTTTTACTATAAACATTGATAAAGTACAGGTAAGTTTACTCCTAATTAATTACTGGTTACAAGTAATTGCTTATTTGAGTATATAAAAGTGTTATAATCCTAGTCTTTAACTAATTGGAAATATACACAAAATAATATATGGTTGTAAATTCTTTAAAAGTAGAAAAATGAAGCAGTTTATAAATTCCATTGGGCTTCATTTAGTTTTTACATCAGAAAATTCAGAAAGCCAAAGAGCTCAAGATTTTAATATGTTCTTTTCAGGAGGAATAAGTGATGGCATTATATGCTCAACACCAGAACATCGGAAGGGAAAGGACCTCCTCAAAGTTCCTTATGAGATGTACAGGGCATGCCCTCCCTCAGCTGCTCATGTTCATCTGGCTAATCTTCATCACCATAGCTCTGAGCACAGAAGTTCTCTGAAGCACACTCATCACAATGAAAATGGAGAAAGTAGCCATTCAGACTGTGAACCTAAACCGAAGCCAAGGCCAGTTAGTTTGCGTCATGCAATCGCCACTGTGGTAATAACTGGAGTTGTCTGTGGAATCGTGTGTCTAATGATGTTGGCAGCTGCTGTGTATGGTTGTGCCTATGCTGCAATTACTGCTAAATACCACAGAGAACACTTGGCCCCAGTAACCGAGCAGGGGAGTCCTGAGGAAAAAGAGCCATTTGATAGTTCCTTGGCTTAAGTTACTTTTGGTCTTTGGTTTCACTCAAGTAAGACTCCTCGTTTCAATCAGAAGCTTAGTGTCAAGTAGGATTGATTTACTTGTTACTCCTGTATTTTGCTTTTTCACATTAAAACAGTTTCTGTAAAATAGACATTCATTCCTGGGAAGCAATTTATGTTGAGAGGTTAAATAGATGAAATAAATATATTATTTATGTTCCGTGCATGCGTACATTCTGAAGTATTACATGAGGATGTGAGTTTAAGATTAATTAAATCTTCATGTAACCACTTTCAAATATTCAGTTCTACATTAACTAGTCCGCTGTGTAACTTTAGTACAATACATGGCAATTATAGACAGTCACTAGCCATCACAAGTGAGATTTCTGGAATGGAAAATGCAAAGCAATTTTAAGTGGCTTGGTAAAGTTTGCCTAATATGTACCTAAGGAATATATGGCAGAACAGTAACCTCTAAGTACAGGTCATACTAGGTAGTGGTAGAACTGGCCAAATTATTCACTGCAAGTAACTGACCCAACAATTTTTCTTAAAATAAATTATTTGCAAACACATTTTTTCCACTATTCAACCTGCTCTATTAGATAAACCATTTTAATATTGCATCCATGATGTAGTTTATGAGATGGAAAATCCATAATTAGCTATAGCAGTTCAGTTCTCGGCCATATCCAGAGACAGAAACATCTTTCTCTTACTTGGGGAACAGTAAAGAGGAGTGGGCAAGATGGAAGTGAAGAGGAATAGTTAACGTGAGGGCATTGTGGCATTCTGATACAAGGATTTGAGAAAGGGCACTGACAGAAGCAAAAATAAAATATAAACACAGAAGCCACACTTACTTCCTCAACAAAGGACTAATACACAACCACCACAGACACTTCTGATGGTCTTAATTCATAAAACTTCCATTTGGCAACTCTCATAACAGGAATAAAATAATGGATTTGGTACTGAAACCAATACAATTGTCAGGTTTCAGAATGGTAGCCGTGTTAGTCTGCATCAGCAAAAACAACAAGGAGTTCTTGTGGCACCTTAGAGACTAACAAATTTATTTGGGCATAAGCTTTCATGGGCTAAAACCCACTTCATCAGATGCATGGAGTGGAAAATACAGTAGGCAGGTATAAATACACAGCACATGAAAAGATGGGAGTTGCCTTACCAAGTGTGGGGGGGTCAGTGCTAATGAGCCAATTCAATTAAGGTGGAAGAGGGCTATTCCCAACAGTTGACAAGAAGGGGTAAATACCCAGGGAGGAAAAATCACTTTTGTAGTGCTAATGAGGCCAATGTAATCAAGGTGGCCCATTTCAAACAGTTGACAAGCAGGTGTAAGTATCAGCAGAGGGAAATTAGTTTTTGTAGTGACCCATCCACTCCCAGTCTTTATTCAGGCCTAATTTGATGGTGTCCAGTTTGCAAATTGATTCCAGTTCTTCAGTTTCTCATTGGAGTCTATTTTTGAAGTTTTTTTGTTGAAGAATTGCCACTTTTAAGTCTGTTATTGAGTGTCCAGGGAGACTGAAGTGTTCTCCTACTGATTTTTGAATGTTATAGTTCTTGATGTCTGATTTGTGTCCATTTATTCTTTTGCATAGAGACTGTCTGGTTTGGCCAATGTACATGGCAGAGGGGCATTGCTGGAACATGATGGCATATATCACATTAGTAGATGTGCGGGTGAACGAGCCCCTGATGGTGTAGCTGATGTGGTTAGGTCCTATGATGGTGTCCCTTGAATAGATATGTGGACAGAGTTGGCAACAGGGTTTGTTGCAGGGATTGGTTCCTGGGTTAGTGTTTTTGTTGTGTGGTGTGTAGTTGCTGGTGAGTATTTGCTTCAGGTTGGGGGGCTGTCTGTAAACGAGAATTGGCCTGTCTCCCAAGGATAGGTTGTAGATCCTTGATGATGCACTGGAGAGGTTTTAGTTGGGGGCTGTAGGTGACGGCTAGTGGCGTTCTGTTACTTTCTTTGTTGGGCCTGTCCTATAGTAGGTGACTTCTGTGTACACTTCTGGCTCTATCAATCTGTTTATTCACTTCACCATGTGGGTACTGTAGTTTTAAGAATGCTTGATAGAGATCCTGTAGGTGTTTGTCTCTGTCTGAGGGATTGGAGCTTGGCTGTAGACAATGGATCGTGTGATGTGGTCTGGATGAAAGCTGGAGGCATGTAGGTAAGTATAGCGGTCATTAGGTTTCCGGTATAGGATGGTGTTTATGTGACCATTGCTTATTTGCACTGTAGTGTCCAGGAAGTGGATCTCTTGTATGGACTGGTCCAGGCTGAGGTTGATGGTGGGGTGGAAATTGTTGAAATCCTGTGGGCCACCTTGATTACACTGGCCTCATTAGCACTACAAAAGTGATTTTTTCCTCTCTTGGTATTCACCCCTTCTTGTCAACTGTTGAGAATAGCCCACATCCACCTTAATTGAATTGGCTCGTTAGCACTGACCCCCCCCCACTTGGTAAGGCAACTCCCATCTTTTCATGTGCTGTGTATTTATACCTGCCTACTGTATTTTCCACTCCATGCATCTGATGAAGTGGGTTTTAGCCCATGAAAGCTTATGCCCAAATAAATTTGTTAGTCTCTAAGGTGCCACAAGGACTCCTCGTTGTTTTTACCAATACAAGTGTGTGTTTGTATATTGTTATTCTTTCTCTTATGTCTGGCTAGATTCCCTGTAGGATCAATCCTAGCAGAGGGATCCAGAAGCAGAAAGTTTGCTATAAGACGATGTTGCAGCCACAAAATCCTCAACACCAGAGAACCAGAAGGGAAAGGATATTCTTAAACTGCAGAAACATTTTTCAAATAAAATATTTGGCTAGGAAGTTCACTGCACCATTTAAATCCAGAATTAGATTATTATAATCTATATGTCTACATTTTCTAGCCTGGATTTTATTTTCAGAATTAGCATTTTGTACCCCCCCCCCCAAAAAAAGGAATTTCTTTTTAGCTAGGGTAGTGATGCAAGGGTATTGGATGGAATTTTACCATCTGTGCACTAAATCATGAGCCTCAGTGCCAAACCAAACTCAAAGGCCTTTTACCTGTGGGAATTACAACGGAGCTGGGGGACACATACACACAACCCAAATTTAGGGCCCAGCGCACCCATGCAATTAGACTGCAGATGCAAATGTGAAAAATGCTAAAGCTCCAACTGACTTCAGTGGAGCCAGGATTTCACTGACACTGATCCCAGTAACCTGGGACTCAGCTATGGAACGTTAAGTACAAATACCCTCTGCTCACGCCTTAAAAAAAACCAAACCAACCTACCAAAACCTTTTAGTCTGCAAAACCTCTTCCTAAAGAAGCAAAAAAAGACACAAAAATGATTTTTAAATATTTTTTTAGGTCACCTTTAAGCTGCTTTTGGCATTTTCGTGTGCACTTAAGGCCTGAAGTCCATGTGAAATTCTGCCATAAAGAAAGATATTTCTTACTTCCAATAATGCATTTCTTTGTATGACTGGAGTAGGCCAACCCATATTAAACATGTCATACACATTCTAACATGCTGTATGTTCAAAAAATGCAGAAACATCACATTATGCTTTGATAAAATTGAATACATTTATAAATTCAGCCCACGGTTGCCACAAACAGCCATTTAAGATGATAATGTTTACTAACATTTAAATGTCAACAGACTCTCAACAGAGAAAAATATAGAGCCAATCTTTTAAATTAACAAATGCAAACTTACAATTTTGTAATATGAAAAATGTAATGTTTATCTGTAAAAATAAAATTCAGATGAAAGACACAATTTGCTGAGTATTCTGTGAGAACCACAAATTATCTTTCACAACCACTGCAGTTCATAAGGGATAATTTTCAAACGCCTTACAGATTATTTTTAGCTGCTCATTGTATACTGCTGAATCCAGGGATTCCCTACAGAAATGGCCTTAATTTGTAAAGCTATGGACATCTGCTGCTGAAATAATGAGTTATTTGCACAGATTTATTTTGCCAGTAAAGGTCATTGACAAACAGTTTCAACAATGCAATGTAGAGTATTTCTATAAACTCTGGAAGAGCCCCTTTATTCCTGAAAACATCAGGATAGCTTGTTCACTGTCTGCCATTTGGAAAGATAGCTAAAAGAAACGGATTGTACTATTCTTATCTTTCAAACAGGGGTCACCTTGTCACTTAGTTTTCAGAATCGATACATGGAAAATGGAGATGAAGAAAGTGGTCCTACTTGCAAATTTGTTCCCAGTTTAGAATAGGAGATAAAACCACACAGATTTCACTTTGTTCTCTACAGAAAAAGCCCATTAATGGTTATACAGATGGAGAGAAACACAAGTACTGAGTGTTGTATGCAAGTCTTTCCATCCAAAACTTGCGGAAGGATAATAAAAATTTAACTTCATTACCCTCAAGTGATCCCACTTCCAATCAGAGAGGATGCCCCTCCTTGTTTTTCAAAGTAGGCATCTTAATTACATTATACATAGTGTATCTTTCATTTGCAACATTAACAAAATAAGACACCATTGTTTGCATAATCATAACCTCCTATTTGCTGCTGGCCAGGTGACAAAAGTACAGAGGCTCCCTTTAGTTCAGCATTGAAAAAGTATGCTTATTTGAACCTCTTTAGTCTGCAAAACAGGGCTGAAAAGGTCATATTAATAACATTCACACAAGATTCTTGCTATTTCCTGGTTTTGTGTTACCTGAAACATGACTGCGTGCTCCCCTGCTAAGGCAGCCAGCAACATCAATCACCTGGATGTGGCATTGACCTAGGGTTGCCAACCATCCAGGATTGACCTGGAGTCTCCAGGAATTGAAGATTAATCTTTAATTAAAGATTATATCATGTGATGAAATCTCCAGGAATACATCCAACCAAAATTGGCAACTCTACATTGACCCATCATGAAGGAAGGGACAGATGATTCAGTGACAGCAAAGTACATAACTACAGCATGTTACCAACAGGGGTTGAGCCTGTGGTCAGCTCTGCATGATTAGAGAGGGATCGACAGATTTGGGGCCAGAGTTTTCCATGGACTTCTTGCCTTTGTGGATATTGCAAGCTGAGTTTCTTAATCAAGACTGCCATTCTTGCTTCAAGGAGGGAATGAGAATCTGCAAATCCTGTGCATTTTTGGAAGTAAAAGGTTTTCCATGGAAGGGGATAAACTAGCTA